TCAACATTTTCAGCTCCTCTCAGATAATCCTGTAGGCTGTTCCAGCAAAAATAAATTCCATCTTGTGACAATAACATCACTTTCAGACATGCACTGAACTCAGGAGATTCTCCCCACATTCTAGAGGAGGTGCATGTGTGAACGCAAATGTCCGAGTGAGAGCCTCCGGATGATCTATCTCTGCCTGGCCCACTAGTATAAAGTCTGAAGAAATCCAGGAGAATCCGATGTGGGACAGTCACAAAAATATAAAGGAAAAAAAAAGCTCCCGGTGAAAAAGCTGTGTCGTACACATGGAAGGTCATTTCTATAAACGGCTTGAGAGGCCTTGCAGGAACACAACAACCACCATCTCCCTATTGTGTAATGATGATTAGTTTCTCCCTCCAGCTCTGTGTTTACACGAGCAATAGATGCGTCTGTGCACCGCACACACTCTTTGAACCCCTACGTGGCCTGAACAGATCAACTGACACCCAAGAGCAAAGAAGTCCAGAGAACAGTCGTTGGGGAAACTTAATCGCAGCCTGTTCCAATAATCCTCTCGTGGCAGGTTTGTTGTTACGTCTCCAAGGTTACGTTGAGATACAAAGACGACATAAAAGAGTCGTTTTCAAGCAGTGCACTGACGGAAATGTTTCTGCCAAGATTTCCACAAAGGTTTTAATGCCTCATAATAGCAAAACTGCATTGTGACCACGTTCGATTATTTGGGAAAGTCCACCAAAAAACAATGCACTCCAAAACTCTCAGGGGAAAACAATAATCCTTTTTTAATCACTAGTTTTAATCCAGTTGATCCAATAGGACTGCAACACTCCTTCATTCTATTTCTTTGGAAACATTTATCACATTCCCTGTTGCTGGAAGAGAAACAGTGATCTTAAATGTGACCTTCCTGATGGAGTGTGCTCTAATGTTTACTCAGATCGAGGGTTCACCATTGCATTGCAATTGAATCTCAACCACAGAGGTGAGGCCGTGCTGATCTGTAACGAAAGCCCATCCAGGTCACTCAGGGGAGGTGTGTGTTCTCTGTCCTCAGCGAGATTAAAAAACAGAGGCTTAAAATGTGTCATATTAACAGGAGCAGGTTTGGATCTAATTCAAACTCCAGAAGTGTTTTATTTTTCAACACTTTTACTAAACACCGTGAGCAAGTATGACCCCCTGCCAACTATCTTGTCTTGAATCAAAGGTGTGAAATTGAAGGAGAGGACGAGTTATGGGTCATATTTCACTGCCATTCAGGTCATTGTTGTTGGTTACTCATCTGCTTAACAACAGCCGTTATTCCTTTGGTCTGTGCAGGGGAGGGTAGCAGTAGATTTTCTTTTCTTTTTTTTTTGTCTGCTCGTACTCTTCATCTGTCACTAAAGGAGTTGGTGTTCGCTTCTCCAGCTCCTCCGGTTACCACAACACGCCGGGCTGTTGCCTAGCGATTCTGCCCTATAAAGCAGCTCCTTGAACTTCCACCTGAAACAACATCCCCAGCCACTCATCTCAGGTGAACAAGGGACTTTTTGCAGAAGCAAAAACATGGTGAGAACTACTTAAATTTTGACTTTTTTTGTTGAGTCATAGACAGAAACAGCCCAGAAAGATAGAAATGGATTTACATAGATTTATATATCAATATGTTGCAATGCAAAAGAAATGCTATTTCATTTGTGTTTGCTCAATATAGCAAAAGAGGCTATTTGTAATAGAGAAAATATGATTGTGCAATACATGTTATATTTTTATGCTTTTTCTGTTTGCAGCAAAAAAAACAAGTTGAATATGTCTTCGATTTTAGAGCTGCAAAACATGAATTCATGTAATTCACTCACAAGGATTATAAATGTAAAACCCTTGTGAGTGAATTACATGTGATGTTTAATGTTTCACCTATATTTGCCTGAGGTGAAACACACTGTTTCACTATAAAATGTTCCTGCATCTTAATATTGTACATGATGACTGGTGCATGGGATCACTTGAGTTTGACTCAGTTACAAGGGAGCAGAGATATCAAGTAACAGCTCCTCTCTCATGGGGAAATACATCTCACCACCACAGGTTCAACAAATTAACTGAATTACTTTTTGTAGGAAATTGTTTTTATACATTTTCTACCAAAGAATGATTTCCCCAAATGTTTAAGTCTGTATTACCTCAACAGTGAAACCCTGAGTAGCTGATAACTAGTTTTTATTTCATTTTAAGATTTAATATTATCTTATTCTATCTATTTTTTGTATTTTAT